AGACATTGATAAAATTGTTTTTCTCGCGGCCCATAGTTCGCCATAATTTGCCCATAGTTCGCCCATGGTTCAAAGACATTGATAAAATTGTTTTTCTCGCGGCCCACAGTTCGCCATAATTTGCCCATAGTTCGCCCATGGTTCAAAGACATTGATAAAATTGTTTTTCTCGCGGCCCATAGTTCGCCATACTTTGCCCATAGTTCGCCCATGGTTCAAAAATATTGATAGAAGTATTTTCTCGCCGCTCTTAGTTCGCCATACTCTGCCCATAGTTCGCCCATGGCTCAAAAATATTGATAAAAGTGTTTTTCTCGCCGCTCATAGTTTGCCAAACTTGGCCCACAGTTTGCCCATAGTTGAAGAATTGGAAATAACTGATTTTCTTTGCTCCCATACATCGCCATACTTTGCCCATAGTTGGCCCATAGTTCAAAAATATTGATAAAAGTGTTTTTCTCGCCGCCCACAGTTCGCCATAATTTGCCCATAGTTCGCCCATGGTTCAAAGAGATTGATAAAATTGTTTTTCTCGCGGCCCATAGTTCGCCATAATTTGCCCATAGTTCGCCCATGGTTCAAAGACATTGATAAAATTGTTTTTCTCGCGGCCCATAGTTCGCCATAATTTGCCCATAGTTCGCCCATGGTTCAAAGACATTGATAAAATTGTTTTTCTCGCGGCCCATAGTTCGCCATACTTTGCCCATAGTTCGCCCATGGTTCAAAAATATTGATAAAATTGTTTTTCTCCCCGCCCATAGTTCGCCATACTTTGCCCATAGTTCGCCCATAGTTCAAAAATAGTGATAAAAGTATTTCTTTCGCCGCCCATAGTTCGCCATACTTTGCCCATAGTTTGCCCATGGTTGAAAAATATTGATAAAAGTGTTTTTCTCGCGGCCCATAGTTCGCCCATAGTTCAAAAATATTGATAAAAGTGTTTTTCCCGCCGCTCATAGTTCGCCATACTTTGCCCATAGTTCGCCCATGGTTCAAAAATATTGATAAAATTGTTTTTCTCCCCGCCCATAGTTCGCCATACTTTGCCCATAGTTCGCCCATGGTTCAAAAATATTGATAAAATTGTTTTTCTCCCCGCCCATAGTTCGCCATACTTTGCCCATAGTTCGCCCACAGTTCAACAATAGTGATAAAAGTATTTTTTTCGCCGCCCATAGTTCGCCATACTTTGCCCATTGTTCGTCCATGGTTCAAAAATATTGATAAAAGTGTTTTTCTACCCGCCCATAGTTCGCCATACTTTGCCCATAGTTCGCCCATGGTTCAAAAATATTGATAAAATTGTTTTTCTCCCCGCCCATAGTTCGCCATACTTTGCCTATATTTCGCCCAAGGTTCAAAAATATTGATAAAAGTGTTTCTTTCGCCGCCCATAGTTCGCCATACTTTGGCCATAGTTCGCCCATAGTTCAAAAATATGGATAAAAGTATTTCTTTCGCCGCCCATAGTTCGCCATACTTTGCCCATAGTTTGCCCATGGTTCAAAAATATTGATAAAGGTGACTTTCACGCCGCTCATAGTTCGCCATACTTTGCCCATAGTTCGCCCATACTTCAAAAATATTGATAAAAGTATTTTTTCGCCGCCCTTAGTTCTCCATACTTTGCCCATTGTTCGTCCATGGTTCAAAAATATTGATAAAAGTGTTTTTCACGCCGCTCATAGTTCGCCATACTTTGCCCATAGTTCGCCCATAGTTCAAAAATATTGATAAAAGTATTTTTTTTCGCCGCCCATAGTTCGCCATACTTTGCCCATAGTTCGTCCATGGTTCAAAAATATTGATAAAAGTATTTTTTTCGCCGCCCATAGTTCGCCATACTTTGCCCATAGTTCGCCCATAGTTCAAAAATATTGATAAAAGTATTTCTTTCGCCGCCCATAATTCGCCATACTTTGGCCATAGTTCGCCCATAGTTCAAAAATATTGATAAAAGTATTTCTTTGGCCGCCCATAGTTCGCCATACTTTGCCCATAGTTCGCCCATAGTTCAAAAATATTGATAAAAGTATTTCTTTCGCCGCCCATAATTCGCCATACTTTGGCCATAGTTCGCCCATAGTTCAAAAATATTGATAAAAGTATTTCTTTGGCCGCCCTTAGTTCTCCATACTTTGCCCATTGTTCGTCCATGGTTCAAAAATATTGATAAAAGTATTTCTTTGGCCGCCCTTAGTTCTCCATACTTTGCCCATTGTTCGTCCATGGTTCAAAAATATTGATAAAAGTGTTTTTCACGCCGCTCATAGTTCGCCATACTTTGCCCATAGTTCGCCCATAGTTCGTAGATTTAAATAAACATGATTTTCTGCCTTCTATAATTCGCTATACTTTGCCCTTAGTACTCCCATAGCTGTTAAATTAAAAAAAACATTGTTTTCTGCCTCGCATAATTTACCATACTCTCTTAAATTGAATCAGTGGAATTTCACTGATTAATCAGCTAGAAATCTGCCACTGATCCCTCTCAGTGAAAATATCATTGATTGCAATTAGTTATCACAAAAGTACTGATTCATCAGAGAAAAACCACTGATTCTCAGTGAAATTCCACTGAGAATCAGTGGTTTTTCACTGATTTCTCAGTTAAATTTCACTGAATCTCAGTGACTCACTTCTCACTGAGAATCAGTGGAATTCCACTGATTCATTTTAAGAGAGTACTTTGACCATAGTTCACGTATAGTTAAGAAATTTAAAAATGCTTTTTTTTCTTAAACCATAATTCACCATACCGCAACTAGTAGTCTGAATTTCATTTTTCAAAATATAAACAAATTCCTCACTTGACTAATTTTTTATTTGTCCACACTTGATTAAAAAAAATCCTCTATTATTATCTCCTAATTCTTTTCATTTGGTTAGATAATAATTAATTTCAATTTCTTATTTCGAATGAGGAAACGATTTCATTTAATAACATTGATTGCTCCTGTCACAAGTAATAACAAAAGTGATTTACTTCCGGGAATTTTTGCGAAAACTTTCCGGAAATTTTCCGGAAGTCATTTCCGGAAATCCTTCCACATGGGGAGGGATAATCAAATTTTAAAAAATTAAGATTAATGAATTTTTTTAGCTTTTGGATTGTAACAAAATTTGATTTTCGATGCCCATGAGGCGCAAGTTTTAGTCATTTTAAATAATCGAGATAAAAGAATATTTTTCAGTTTTTGTATTTGAAAACAATGTGACTTTCGGTGCTCATGATTTTCAAGTTTTTGTCAAATTGTCATAAAGTATAGATAGGAAAATAATTTTTTGTTATTGGATTGAAAAAAAATTTTTTTCGTTGACCACGGTTCTTAATTTTTTGTTAATTATTAAAATATGTTTTTCATTGAAACATTTTCAACTTTTGAATTTGATAAAAGTTTGATTTTTTATAACCATGGTTCGCAAGTTTCCAGCAATTTTTAACAAATGCAATAAAAAAGAGTTTATTATTTTATTTGTTTTTTCATTGTCAGTACAAATCAAAATTCGGTTTTTTATTTGTATTGTTTATTATATGTGACAGTAGCAGTTTAGATATTAGAATTTTTTAAATAATATCTCATCAATTTTGTGAGTTGTCTGTAATTTTTAAGATCACATTCTTCGTATGTAGCTGATTATCCAAGTTTTAAAATTTACATATTTTTTGCTTTTTATTAATTGAAAAAATTTTACAGATGCATTTTGCAAAAAATGGAAAATATGATTGGAAAAAATAAGTTCAAATTTGATAAAAATGATTAAATTTTGTAAGTGTATCGTTTCTACAGAAGGTTAATAATAATTTACATAAAAAAATTTGGCAGATTTTACTTAGAAATATAATAATTAAGAAAACAAAGTAACCTAAACAATGTTTTAAATAATAATTGGCCACAAAACAAGCAGCACGAAATTAAACATTTAATAGACAGATTCTTGCAAATTGCTTGAAAAAGAAAATAAAGAACGAAAACTGAAATGAGAACTATCAAATTCTGCCGTAAAGAGATTAATTTAAAAAATTTAGATCATTATGGGTTTTGTTTTCTTTGTTATTTTTCTGTTTAATCTACAGGTAAGTAAATACTGAAAATTAATCGCTTTTTTAAATTAAAAATATTATATATATATTTATATTAATAGTATTAATAATACAAATACCCACGCACCCTGCTTCGCGGAGCAGTACATTGCGGGTATTATTTATTTATTCTTTCTTTTTATTTTAAGTTTTTAAAGACAATAGCGAAAAGTATTTGGATAAGGTTAACGATAAAAGAGGATTGGACTTAATAAAAGTACAAGATTGTACAGTTTTAGCGGCGGATGTTCCAATTATAGGGATTAAATTTATTTCTCGAGCACTATCATATAAAAATCGTTATCTACAATATTTGCGACAAAGAAACCACTCCAATTTTGCTTCCATTTTTTTTGGACATCATTATTTGGAAAAAGTTGTTTACACACAGAATATAAACGTCCCGGAATTTACAAAGCTAGTGGACGAATTATCAAAATACTTCAAGTTTTTCGCGTACGACTTTAAGGATAACAAAGTAATAGCAATATGCAGCACTGCGTTGGAACAAATTCCGAAAAAATGAGCGTTTTTGTTGCCGAATTGGTGAGTAAATGTTATCAATACCAGACTGCAGCTTTCTGAAAGAAAAATTTTCGCACTTCTCGATACTCGATAACTATAAATTGTCTTTTTTTTAAATATTTGCAACGTTTTAAATAGTTTTGCGTTTCCCTGACATTTTAATATAAATGCTACGCATATGTCCAAAGTTTTAGAGATAGCCAACATTGCAAAAAATAATAAATCTAATTCATATTTAATGAATGAATTATTTAATTCATTTTAATAATTATAAATAAATGTAAAGATAAAGTTGAGCAAAATTCTATTGTTAAATTTATAATAAAACGAACAAATGTTAAATAAAAATGAACAATTGTACTTCAATAGTACAATAAGTGTATAATTTTCAATTTTTTCGAATTTTCGGATGACGAAGTGTTCCACACAGATTGTTTATTACTGTTATAAATTCTTCTCTTTGAAAATCAATTCCTTCAGGTATTTTACTTTGGATATAAGCTGCAGAAAGCAATTGTCATAATTATCATGATATTCATTCAAAATTTGCTAATAAAAAATATATATTATTGTTTATAAATAGTTTAAGTTTTCTAAATAAAATTATTTTTATGATAGTTCAGAAATGTATATTTTCTGTAGGAAAATATAGCAAAGTAGAGTGACAAGAGAGGAGGGGTCTAAAACCTCGAAAAAAATGCATGAAATCATTTGTAAAAATGATTTTCTCTAAATAGTAAAATTGTTTTTTTGAATAGACATGATACAGGCAGAGGTTATCTTTTCATTGGACTAATATTATTAAGCATAGAATTTTATAATTCTTAAATAAAGAATAGTTTAATATTTTTATTATATACTAAGCGACAAGATCGAACCAGAGCACATATAATTATTTTAATGGAAAATGGAGTCCCCTGGAACTATAGCTAGTAAAGCAACTTTCTGAGGCCTCCCAATTCCAAGCGAAATATCTTTGCACCCTTATTCGATCCGGCAGCTCGAATAATTTTTTCTTACAAAATATCGATTCACGAATTTCCTCGGGAACGCCCATTTTCTCGTTTCTGCCAATTGCTGTCATCAACTTTAAATCTTCCTCCGATATTAACTGCTTTAATAATCTTCTGGTCAACTCTCTCGGATTATGTTTCAAATGATCCCAAGCCAGTAATTTTTCAGTTTTGACAAAAACATTAAACCCCTGAGCTATTTGAGTCATTTCCTTTTTCAATAAAATAAATCAAAAGTTATATTTTTTCCTTTTTTTAATTTTAAATATTTTGAGTAAAAAATTCCGTGAAAAGAGTCGCAAGTTTGTGTAAATATTTTAATATAAAAAATTAATAAAAACAAAAATAAATGAACTAAAAGTAAAAAAACAATAATAAATATGAATAGTAAAATTTAATGTTAAATTAATTCGTACTGTGTTCAAAAGATTATCTTCATTTGTAGAAACATTGACTGCCTCTGGGACTTGGTTTTCGGAGGATTTCGTTGTATGATCTAAAAATGTTACTGGATCAGGTATTAAAAATAAAATAATTGACATTTAATAATTTATAAAATAATAAAATCTATTATGAATCGGGCTCGAAAAAACACATATTATTTTATTTATGAACGGTCAAGTAATACCTAATTCCTCTATATTATTTGAACTTGTGGCAAGGGGTTCGAGGCGTACATCTAGAAATTTAAAATTAAAAATTGTAATAATTGTAAGAGGAAAAATAAGAGAGAGAGAGAGAGAGAGAGAGAGAGAGAAAATATTATAAGTTCAAAAATTTAATAATCACCATTTGAGACAGTTACATCAGTTTGTCCAAAAATAATACCCAAATCATTCACATTAAGTGCCTCAAGCCATTCTTTACTCTCTACGAAGTAATAATTTTAAATTAAATTTGTTATCAATTTTCTGTTTATTTGTTTATTAAAATTAATATACTAGATATATTAAAATGTTTATATATTGTAATTAAATTTTTTTAAATATATGTTTACTTGAAAAAGTTTCGTTAAATTCGAAATTAGTGTAGTGAGAATTAAACATTTTTGTAAAATATTATTTTAATAATTAAAGATTTAATTAAATTATAACTGTTTATATTGACAGCAAATCTTCTCTTTAAAAAGCACTTTCAAAATGATTTAGATTAAAAAGAAATATCATTATTTAATAAGATAATTAAATTTTTTAACCAAAACAGTTATGTATAAAAATTATTGAAATTGAAAAACTGTAATAACAAAAATATTAGATTCTTTAAGCGTATCAAGTTTTCATCCAAAATAAATTGTACCCACGATTGAACGCAATAATTTTAGCAGGGTATGATTTTCCGAACCATAAAATGTTCGCTAAATTTCCATTCATTTTTACAATTCCATTTTCTTCAACAACACTAACAGTTTTGTCTTTCCACTGCACTAAATAAAACATTTTCGATTTTAATTTCCCTCTACTTGGAATAAATTTGAACTGTCATGCAAAAACATGCAAATTTTTAAAATGACACTCATTTATTTCAGCTAACTTCGTAAATTAAAAAATATAAATTTAAAAATAAAATATTTTTTTAAAAATATAGTAATATTAACAATAAATTCTTTTAAATATAAAAACATATGTCTTTTTTGTCGCCAAAGCGAGACCTCTGTAATTTAAAGATAAAATTTAAGAAATAGAAAAAATAAGAAATTTAAAAATGAAATATTTTATTTATTTAAATAAATGATAAACACTTTTAACGTAATCTAAAAAAATATTTTAAAAACGAGTTACAATTCAGCCAACATTTTATGTGATGTAAAATTCTATTAACAAAAAATTACTAATTATAACATTTTTAAAAAAATTTATAAGGCTTGCAAAATATCGGCAACAAAAATAATTCTTTTTTCGGAGCCCCAAGAAGTGAAATAATTTTTTTTTAATTTTTTTAATTTATGCTGTGCCCACTGTGATTTCAAAGGTAAACAATTCTTAAATTTCGAAAAAAAAATTTATATTTGAAATAGCGAGTTTTGGAGATATTTATTTAAAAATACATACCAATAACTTGAAATGTTAAATATAGTAAAATATATGATCTTAAACCTAAAACATTGCTTGCATTTAATTTATCGAAATTTTAGTTTATTTTTTTGCGCTTCGTATTTCGACGACATTTTTGAAAAATGAAAAGTTTTCTAAAAATTTCTGGTCTTCCAGTGACTTGAAGCCTTTTCTTGAAATTATGCAATATTTGTTCCTAATTTTTTTATATAAATTTTCTACTTCTCCGCCTGTAAAAATAAATATTAATTTATAATAATAATCTACCTATGCAAAATAATAATATGTCTCTCTAACCTTTTAACCAGGAATAACTGCGTTCGTTATTTTTAATTTCATTCGCAATTTCCGCGAAAGCAGTTTTGATCAATCGATGACGGTTGCCGTGCTTGGGAATCTCAAATTTTTTATCATATATTATTCTTTTTTTTTTAATTTCTTCGCTAAGAAGCTTTATTAATTTTTTGTCCTCCATTTTACACTTTTTGAAAGTTTTTAACAATCTTAGGTTAAATTATATTAATGCAATTTGAAGTTAATAACAAATTTTAAGACAGAAGACAAAAGACATTAAGCGCCAATTTCATATTTTTTTACAGGGAGCGAAAAAAATATTTATATTTATTTATTTATATTTCAATAAGAACTTATTAATTTTAAAATAAAAATAATAATTATTATTATTGAAAAAATAATAACACCCGCGCACCCTGCCTCGCGGAGCAGTTCATTGCGGGTTTTTGCAATTAAATATAAATATTTATAACAAATGGTAAGTAAGATCGATTTAAAAATAAAATATATTTATAACTATAATAGACAAAAAATATAATAAATTTAAAAATGTAATAAAATAATTTTGATATTTATTGGTCATAATATTTTTTTAATGAATTTATGATAAATTCAATAATTAAGAGTGGCAAAGAAATAGATTTAAAAAATTATTTCTTTTGTTTTCTTTTCATTTATAGCATCATTTGTTCTATTTTATAATCGTACTCCAAGCTTTTTTGCTTCGTGTTTTTCACTAGGAAATTGCCTACCTTCTAACCCATTCTGTGAGAAATTAAAAATGGAGCGAAATATTTTCTCAAATTTAAGCGGTAAGTATAATACATATTTAATTATTTGCTGAACTTGCGAAATTTCAATCTGTCGAAATTTTTTTTTTTTGAGGTTGTCAAATTTTTTTATGACAATATTGGCTATTTAAAATTACAATAATAATGAAAATTTAAAACACAATTTTTGAACAATTTTCAAAATAAAACTCACAATTTTCCAAAAATTAAAATTTGAATTTTTCTCATAATTTTCATTATTTATCATTCCCGAATATTTTATACGCCTTTTTCATGATTTCAAAAAATCCAGAGTACAGGTTTTAAAATATATAATTTTTTTAAAAAATAAAAATTTTGAAAAATTAAATAAATATTTAAAATTTTTAATTTAATTGAAAGTTAATTAATTAATTAATTAATTTTAATTATAATAAAATTAAAAATATAATATAATTTTAAAAAAAATTTCTTATACGCTTATTTCATAAATTCAATCAATCGCATGAAATTTGAAAACTTAATTTTTTCAAAATAATAATAATAAATAGATGATTGGATGTTAGGCTAACCATATTGTCAGATGTTTTTATTCAGCTTATCTAAAATTTCAGAAGCAACGCGTGGAAAAATAATCGGTATGCACCAAGCAGGAAGTTCAAATGCAGAAATAGCCGAGCAAATCCACTGCTCTATAAAAACCGTCCGACTATGGATAAATAAATACACACAGGGCGGAATCCTGGCATTAAGAGACCACCGGAAATTCAATCATCCACCAAAAAAAACCACCGTAGAGCAGGATGAGGTAATCCACGAATTTTTTACGGATCATGATCCATTTGCCTCAACAAGCCGTTTCGTCAACGCGATGAATGCGGATGTCTCGAATGACACCATCCGGAGAAAACTAAATGAAATGGGCCTTCATAGCCGGCGCCCAGCGTACAAGTGGGAGTTGACCGAAGACCATCGACTCCAACGTCTCGCCTACGCACATCGATTTGTTCAGGAACCCGAAGAATTTTGGAGCAATACAATTTGCGTCGACGAAAAATCGTTTTGTACTTCAGAAGATGGTCGCGTTCAGGTGTGGAGGAGCAAGGCAAGCCGCCTTAGCGAAAATTGCGTAGTTAGAAAGCATAGAAGTGGCAGAATTTCTTGCAATTTTTGGGGCAGCTGCTCCGTTTACGGAGTCGGAGTTTTACGGAACGTAGGCCCCAGATTTAATTCTGCGGCCTATGTCAACTTATTGGAAAACGACTTCCTGCCTTACATCAATAGATTGTTCCCCGCGGACGAATATGAGGAAGTTAAAGTTCTACAGGATAACAGCAGAATTCATACGTCCCAACAGACGATGAACTGGTTCGAGCGGCATCCACGAATAACTTTGCTTCCTCAGCCTCCGCGATCACCAGACCTCAACCCGATTGAAAATTTGTGGGCAATGGTGGTGAAGACATGGGAATCGGGAGCTGATCGCACCTTAGAAGCCTTGATTGACCACGCATTCAGAAGTTGGGAGGAAATAATATACACGCCGGAAGTCGTCTCCAACTCCGTCCTGTCCATGCCGAGACGATTACAGGCTGTAATCGAGAACGATGGTCGGTGGACCAAATATTAAGTGTGTGTCTGTCCATTTTCATGCACATCTTTTACGCAATTAACGTGTCAAAAATTAATACTAACGTTGCTTTTATTTAAATCCGTTTTTGTTCTTTTTTTGTTTACTTTATAATTATTTGTTTTTAGTGAGAATTTTTTTTTTTAATTTTATGAATTCTACTTCGCATATTTTACATTTTAATTTATTACATTTATTTGTTTTGTTGTTTGTTTCTTTTGTTGTTATTACACAATTTGTTCAATTTATAATTGATTTCTTTTTTGTAAAACACATCAAATAAATATTCATTAATGTTCCACTATTAACGCTTTTCAATTAGTTTACAGTCGTAATTCCAAAATTTCTCAAACTTAAAAAAATGATATTGAAAAAATAAAATAAAATATAATGAAAATATTCAATTTAAAAAAAATTACAATACAAGAAGTGGGATTTTTATCGATAATTTATGTAACATTTTGTATAGTAAACGAATTTTTTATATAGAAATTAATATTTCATATAAATAAATTTTATTTTAACAGGATTTTAGTTTCCAGGATAATTTACATATGAATTTTTCGTAGATATATCAAGTTATTTTATTAATAAATTATTATTATTATAATAATTATAATTATTATTTTATTATTATAATAATAAGAAATTTATTAATAAATTTATTAATTACTTATTGTATGAAATATTAATAGATTAAAAAATTTATATAAAACTAAAATTATTTTCTGTTCATTTTTTTAAAGATAATAAATTTATGAGAAGAATCAGATTGTGGTACTGACATTTGAGAAGAAGCGATTTTTTTAGTTTGTGTCAGTAGTTCTGATCTTCCTTGCCATGAGGAGTCTTGTAACTATTAACACTGAAATGCTTCGCATCATATTCTTCGACCAAATTCTTTAACACACGTAAAAAGATTCCCGGGAAAGTGCTCCCGGGAATTTCCGTCGGAAATTTCTGTTGGAAATTCGGATTGCAAATTTTTGTTAAGATTTTTATCTGAATTCCGATTGAAAATTCCGATTGGAAATTTTTATCGGATATTTTTATCACGATTCCTATCGAAAACTTCGATTAGATATTTTTATTTAAATTTTTAACATTTTGTATTTTTTCGAATAAAAATATTTAAAAGTTGTTCAATACCAATTTTTTATATTTTTAAATTCCTGATAATTTTACGGTTAATTTTTTTGATTATAAGGTTAAAGTTTAAGGTTAAAGTTTTATGAAAATAAATATTCTTATAAATTAGTAATAAGTATACTTTTGACTAATTTAAAAAAATATGTTTTTCCATAAAACTTTAACCTTAAACTGTAACCTAAAAATCAAAAAATTGACTGTAAAATTTTCAAGAATTTAAAATTATAAAAATTGTCATTCAAAACCTTTTAAATATTTTTTTAGAAAAATATACAAAATGTTTAAAATTTAAATGAAAATGTCTAATCTGAGTTTTCGATAGGAATCGCGATAAAAATTTCCAATCTGAATTTTTAATGGAAATTCCGACGCAATTTCTAATAGGAATTTCCAATCAGAATTCCGATAAAAATTTGCTATCGGAATTTCCAACAGGAATTTCCGACGGAAGTTCTTGGGAGCTCTTTCCCGGGAATCTTTTCACGTGAGAAGTGACGCAATTTTCCATGCAAATAATAGTGTCTCCTGTTACGTTGCTTGAAGACCGGATCGTCATTCATTATATTATAATTTTTCAAAATGTTTATCTTTATTATCTGAAAGAAAAATGTAAAACGACATTTTGTAATATACTTTTTGAGAAAATTAAAATTAAAATTGGGAAAAACAAAATTTATAAATTTTTATCAATTTACAAAAAAAAATATAATTTTTTATTGTCTCTTTAATTAATTTTGAAACGAACGCGAAACTTGAAATAATCCCCGCTGTTTGAATTTATTTCTTTTTTTTGAAACCGGTTCCGTTAAAAATCGAAAATAATTTAATGAAATGAAATGAAAATAAATGAAATTTAATGAAAAAATTAAGAAATTTTTTATAAAAATTTTTTGTGTATCAAACACAAAATTTACGTTTCTTCTTTCTTCTTGTAAGTTCTTATAAATAAGCTCGAAAAGATGAATTAGAAACAGTGTAATTTAACAAAAATTATTTCCATGAATTATCAAATTTTACTAATAATATCCGACAATGACTCTGGGGGAAATATAACGAATTGGCTCAAACAAAAAATAATTTTTTAGCAGGAAAAAATAGTTGAAACAATTACCTCGAGTTCCTGCAAATTTTCCTGAGCTGAAAGCTCAAAAAATTATAAATTATAAATTACTGCTGTCACTTATAATATCGACTTTTTATTAGGTTAACGTATTCGTATAACTGTCTATATTCCGTATAAAGATTGTTGAATTCCTCTGTGTAACGTCTCCTCTGTTCGTCGCTGCTGACTTTCGTATAATAACTGAAAATTCAAAACACAAAATTGTCGCTGCAAATTTCATTTCTGTAAATTGACATGTAAAAACCGATAAAAAAATAAAATAAAAGAAAAAAAATTTCGGGAATTTTCTAAATTATGGCTTTACTGTAAAATAATTTAAAATTAGTAATTAAAAATAATTTATTCTAAATAGTGTCCAAATAAATAAATTATTTATGTCTTTTTATATTTAAAAATTGTTCTATAAAAGAGTAAAAATTTTACCTAAAATATTTGAAAACTTCTTTTAGAATACAAGAATGTCTCTCAATGAAAATAGTTTTCAAAAAATAGAAATACTCCTGTTTCTATGTAAAAAAAATGCCAAATTTTGTAGCATTATTATTGATTTAAAAATTTCGTGTCGGGTGAAAAATAATTTTT